CTAAATCACTCTATACTTTAGGTTCTACCTAAACTCAGTCTAAGTAACCAAGTCTCAGGTTCTACCCAAATTAAAACTAAGTGGCTCTAAACCTTAGGTTCAACCCGAATTGAATCTAACCCTAACAAATCTCTTTCAGGTTCTACCCACATTGAACCTAAAACTTAAGTCTAAACTACATTAGATCCAACCTACATCGGACCTAAATCTTAAGTCTAAGTTACATTAAACTTAACCAAATCTAACCTACAAACCTAAACCCAAAGGCTAATCTGCATCAGATTCAACCAATTCCCCTTTAGTTCAATCTTAAAATGAATTCAAAGGTGATGATTCAATTCACATCTTTGACTTACAAACCTACCGACATAAAATTCAAAATTAACTAAATATAAATTCATAAAAAAGTACAAACGACTAAAAGACATTAAAACTTAAACTTAAACTCAAAAAGGCAACTAGATTTGAGAAGATATTTTGGAGGAGGTAACCCATGATTGCTACAAAATATCTTTCAGCACTTATGACAAATCAAATCGCAAACCTAATGACCCGGGACGATGGAACCATGGGATCCCAAATAAAAAAATAATAATAAATAATAAAACGACAAAATTTAATTGACTAATACATCGTAAACAACCTAAAATTTTCTAGTCCCTAAAATCTGAAATAGACACTAAAACTTAAATTGAACATTAATGAACAACTATCACCGAATGCAACTTGAACTCCATTGTTCAGATCTACAAAGATCTCTTGTACGACGCAATTTGTAGTTGTTGACAAGAATCTTTCGGTCCTGATTTAAATACCTTTCGGACTAACTAGATCTGAATACCCCGACGACCCCGTGACGACTGAACCATAGACGTCATGACCAAGTTGTCTAAAAATTATTCAACAAACTAAAATAATAAATTAAAACAAAATTTCATGCTAATTTTGTTTTGCAGGATGGCTAAAGACATAAGACAAGTCACGTTTTAAAATGTGCTAACTTTGTTTTGCATGAACATTCTGAAGATGGAACGGTGAATTTTAAAACAGCAAACGACATCAACACAACAAAACGACATCACACAATAAAATGACATCAACACAACAAAACGGCATCAACACAATAAAATGACATTAATAAAATACGGCAATAATAAAATAAAACTGACAAAAACAAAACAAAATGACAAAATAAATTTTTCAGGGTAGTATCGGATTCTTAGAAATCTATTACCCTTAGTATTAAACATTGACGTTTCTTTCCTTAATCTTAACACTAAAAATTCCTTCGAGAACAAATGTTAATCTTAATCGAGAGTTTTCTTACGTAGTTTTAACTGCTTAAGTTGTAATTAACTATAAAAGTTTGCTCTTATAGAAGATTGAGAAACTCAAAATAGGTATTACACATAACTATCTGGTTATGGAATTTTCACGTGGACTTCTTTGTATGAGTATCTCGAAACTCAAACACTTCAGAGTTCTCTACAATGATTACTACAACGAAGTTCTCCCAACATTTTCTTTTGTTTTCTATTTTTATTTGTCGTTTTCCTTCTCCAAGTCTCTTAATATCTCAAGGTCATTTGTATAATTTGAGAGATAAACATAATGGTGACTCCTTCCTGACAACGATATCAACAAAAAAACGACATGGCGACAATCGCAGAGGATTGGCGGCGGCGGCAACATTCCGACGACAACAATGATCAAGAAATTCAAGGAGTACAGGCCGAGAGTATGACAAGATGTGGTTGAAGAACGGGTGTGATCAACTCAAGAAGGATTGAAAATTTTGAAAGAAAATGAAACGATGACCAACGGGCTTGGGGTGGGATCCGATGAAGTTAACCATTGATGTTCCAGAGGAATGGTGGGCTGAAAGACTTGCGGTAATAATTTTTTCATATCATATAATTCGGTCATTTTCATTTTTTATTTAATAAATAAAATTGTTGTAATGACTTTGTAGGGGGTGCCCGCTGCGAAAAAAATTTAAACTTTTGTGGACAAATGAGTTGGGGAATTGCTTGTTGGACACCCGACGAGATTCAACAACAAATTCCGCATGAAATAGAAGAAATTTATTGATCTTTTGGATGAACTTAAGAAAATTCATGGACTTCATGGGTCATCGAGGACGACCTCACGAGAGGTACTTGTGATAATCCTCCATATATTGTCACAGAATGAGTCAATGCGATGAGCAATGGAACGCTTTCAGCACTTTTCTGAGAAGATTAGTAGATACTTCTCTGTGGGTTTGGATACACTTAAGAACATTTCTGCGCAAGTCATCAAAACAACTGATCCTACGTTCACACTGACTCTTACGGAGATTTCACACGATCAACGGCACATGTCGTTCTTTAATGATTGCATCAGAGCAATGGATGAAACTCACATTGATGCACAGGTTACTAATAATGAGAAAATCGCATTCATCAAAAATTGTGGGTCCTCTACGCAGAATGTCATGGTTATCTGTGACTTTAATATGTGTTTCACTTTCGTCATGTCTGGTTGGGAAGGAAGTGCGCACGACAA